CTGATCTTTCGAACACCGCGCCGGTGGGCTGGGTGTCGAGTTTCAGCGCGTCACGTACCGTTTAAGAAGCACTTTCACAAGTTTGCGGTGAGGCGACGAGGCATTAAAAGCTGATCGCTCGGGAGGAAAACGCGCAGCGGCAGCGCTTGGGGAAAAGGTTAACCCGCTGGCTGCCCTGCCTGTGAAACGATGGTAAATTACCCGGCGCGTTCTCCCGGGGAAGAAATTAGACTTCAAAAGGGCTGGAGCCCTCCTGAATATATATTAAGCAGATGGGCTGATGCGCTGTCTCGCTGATGTGCAGCTGATTAACCGCCCCATAAAAGTGCAGCGGTCCCGCTCGCCCGCCGCTCTCCCGGGCACCCCGGCGGCGGCAGCAGCATGCCTCTGCGGGGCTGCTGCCCCGGTACAGAGCGAGGGAGCGGAGGAAGGGGGCGGGTGTCTCCCAAAAAGGGACCGGGAAAGAAAGAGAAGATTGGAGCAGAGGGGAGATAACGAGAGGGCAGAATAGGGCGAAGGAGGGAGGGTGGGGGAGAACAGGGAAACAAGTTTGGGAGAAATACGAAAGCCCTTCGTAAACGGAGTGGATTTGCTCTCCCTCTCCCAAATCTCGCTTTCCCTGGCAGCGCTACAGAGCCCATCCCCATCTCGGCACAAGGTCTCATGGCCAGCCCCGGTACCCGCCGTGCTGAAGATGGTGCGGCGGGTCGACACCCCTCACACACACCTCGAACATCCTCGGTTAAACCGAGCTGGGGTTCGGAGGGCAGCGGGAACCGGCAGGGGAGCCTGGCGCCCACATGGAAGCTCCCAGCTGCGGCAGCGGGCTGCGGCGCCAGGGGAGGATCCTACCCATCCCTGCAGTAGCTCGCTAAAATCGCCTTCTTCCTCCTCCCGGTCCGAAGCGGGGAGGGAGAGGAGCACACGCCAGAAAGCCACCCATTGTAGCTTTTAAATGCCTCGCAGCTCAAACCGTCTTTGACACGCCTTGGCCGGGCTCCCAAAGGCATCCTGTGCCATTCGATAGCACTTCAGAAGGGGCCTCTGCGTCCTCCCGCGCCGGGCAGCCTGGACGTGGCCAACGACGGCAGAAGGGGGGGCATCCACCATCCAGCTCCCCGGGCTGGGCACTAGCTCGGGAAAAAGGGCTTCTGGAGAGTCAGCCTCAAGTCAAACGGGGGGGTGACAAAAAGGCAGCGTATGTGTTTCCGGGGCCAGACCTCCGCTCTCGGAGCGCTGTCAGATGCACACCGCCGTTCAGGCCCCGGTTTCGGTGTACACCCAGCTCCGGGTAAAGGCTCTTGTACTTGGCCAGTGCCAGGGCCGCACGACTTGCCCCTGGGGTGCGCCGGCCGCTCTGCGCCCCAGGCTGAGCGGCGCGGGGCTGATCTGCTCGCGAGGGGATGCTCCCCACGTCGGGATGCGGGATCCCCTCCTCACCCACAAGCGAGGCGCCCCCCATCCCTTTCCAGCATTTTTCTCTGCCGGGGCCAGGCACGTCCCGGGCACATGCGACGGGGATGAGAGACACAAGGAGGGCTCCTCACGGACACAGAGGTGCCCACGGGTGGGAGTGTCAGAAGTGGGGTCACCTGTGTCGGGGGGACCACAGCCGGGAGGTGCCCGGGTCTGTGGGGAGGATAGGGGCCGGGACGCTGCCGGCGTCCTAACTCTTGCGCGTAGGAAGCGGGGGGGGGGGGGGGGGGGGGGGTGGTGTGACTGCATGTCTCCATCCCTGCTGCAGCGGCTCGGACCCCCGTGAGCGTGTGCACGCGTTTGCGAGCCCGTGCGTGCGGGGCTCCGCGTGGGCTGGCCCGTCCTCGGTGGGCGCCTGCCTCTCTCCGCGCTGTAGGAGCAGACACGCTGGGCCGTTCCTGCGTATCCCTTTCTCCTCCTTTGTCTTCCCTTTCTTTGGCTTTGACTCTTTCAGGTGCCCCGGCGGTGCCCTCGCGTGCTGCCGGTTGCTGGGAGGTGGCGTGGCTGCCACTGCGCTGCTGTTGTGCGAGAGGAGGGAGGAAAGGGGGCTTGAATGCTGGCTGTTGTGCTCGGCTGGGGTGGGGGGCCGCGGCGGAGGAGGAGGAGGCCGATGATGATGATGATGGAGGGGAGGGGTGACGATGGAGCTCACCGCGGGCGCGCAGTTCCCTGGGGAGCCGCCTGAAAGGCCGCTGCGCTCACCAGCTGACAACGCGTGCTCCACTCCAGACACGGCGCACCGCGGCCGGGAGCGAGGCCAGACCCCCCTCCCTCCCGTCCCCCAGCGCCCCCCCCCCCCCCCCATTGTCCGCCCCATCGCATTGTCCGCCCCGCTCTAATTAAGAAACACTGGCCCCACGACCAGCTCCCCCCTACCCCCTCCTCCGTGGTCCTTGCGCTTTTCTGGTCTCCCCTCTTCGGGTTTAACCCTTTCTCCCCTTCCCTCCCTCCTCCCTCCCCGAGGCCAGAGGTTGAGCAAACAGCAGCCAGGGAACTGCAAGGCAGCGATGCGCCCTGGCAAACCTGGCACCACCACGCCTCGACCCCTGAAACCCCCGCGCGAACGCCGCCGCCGAACCGGGCGGGTAGAGCCCCGCACCAGACCCCGCGGATGCGGCTCGGAAGGCAGCAGAGCTGCCGTGCGCCTCTCACAAAGGCGGACCCCCACTCCCCAAAAGACCTCCCCCTCTGCGATGGTTTCGCACACTCCGGAGGATATTTAGCGTTCAGCCAAAATTTAACGCTCGGATAGTGCGCATCTGACTCGCCCTTTCAAATAAAAGCCCGTTTAAAACGATAAAACCCCACGAAGCAAAGGGGGCGAAACCGCTTCCAGGAGCTGGAGCGCGTCCCCGCTCTTGTTAAAAAACTTTGCGCTGGTCTGTACAAAACAAACACTGTCGTGGGCTCAATAAAGCGATTTATCCATCTTCATTACTTAAAGAAATGTTGTCTCTTTGTTTGTTTGGGAGATATTAAGCATGCTTAGCTTGCAACACATAGTTGATTCCTTCGCTAGTATCTTGGATACTTGGATCTGACTTTGGAAGGTAGGAGCTAATTGCTAATAATGGAGAGAAAGGAACCAGCCAGCATAGCGGGAGTGGCCCGGCATATGGGGAATGAGCAGTCTGAAATACTCAATATTCAAGTTTCCAAAATATTAATGAGATTATAGCAACCTGCAGCTATACATTACAGCTTGTTAACGGAGTGGAAGAGAGGGGGGCTGCCAGGCGGTTGTTATGCAAACGCTATAGCTGAACCTTAACATGGAAATGCGGCGGGGTATCTCTTTCAAAGAAGTGTTAAAAAGAAAAAGAAGAAGATAAAGACCTTCGGTCAGGGAGTGCTGCGCTGTGGCTGGAGCACAGCACCCCAAACCAGTGATACTGTGCTCCGCCGCATCACTCCAGTGCTAGGAGCCCACACGTGCTCCCTATGTAAAGTGAGACCGGCTCCCAGAGCCCATAAATAAATACTGTAAGCCAAAGGTGACCCACCTGGGGAAAGCTGGTGGGGTTTAGGAGGGAAACTGACCCTACCCATCAGTAGGGTGACCTTTCCACCCTACGGGGCCGTACGCCGTCTCAGTTTCGGCAGGTACGGGGCGGCGGCGGCGGCAGGGCCGGGCGGCCGCCGGGTTACTGGGGGCAGGTGCCCTGTCTCTGCTGGAGAAAGCGACGCTCTCGAGGGCTCCGCTCCCTGGACAATCCCCACCTCCCCGGTGTCACCTGCTGAACCCAGCGGGACCTCGCCACGGCTCCGTTTAGCCCCTGGTCCGGTGCCACGGGCAGGCTGGGCAAAGAATCACCACCACCACCTCCACCCCCCCCGGGGTTTAACCCCAGCCCAGGGGCCACATCCTGCTCCCCCCGGGACCCACCGCGCTGCTCGCGTGTCCCCCAAATCATGCCGGCTTTCCTAACCCTTTTCCAAGGGCTTACGCTGACCCCCGCGGGACAGACGAGACTCAGTGGGGCGACCGGCTCATGTCCCGACCGAGGAAGGGCGGGGAGAAGGGAACGATAGGACTCGAGCGGCGACGGTGCGGAGACAGCCCAGAGCCCCGAGCCCCGCACTTGTTGCGGGACACAGACCCCACGGCCCCTTTGCCCGGAGACGGAGCGGCAAGTCTGCCCCGGGGCATATCCGCCCGGTTCTGACACCGGCCCAGCTTCGGGCGTGCGAGGAGAAAAGCTGAACCCGACCGCGCTTGCAGGCTGGTTTTGTGTTTTTAAATTTATTTCCAGGTTTATTTGATCTCAAAAAAAAAAAAAAATTAAAATACATAAAACAATGGCAGCTGGCTTTGCTAAAATGAAAATAAACGATTCTTGTCGTAGAAAAGGTGGGGATTTTTTTTTTTTTTTTAAGGGGAAGCAGAAATAGTAGCGAACACTCCATAATAAATACGTTTCCTATTTATCACAAAAGCAAAGTAAAACGGACATAAAAGTTTGACACGACAAAACTGTTTTCGTTTTTAAGAGAGGGTTGGGATTAAGTGGCTTAATTAAATATCGGTCTCGGATTGGCATTCAGTCATTCAGTCCTCTTGAAACCGCATCTCCAGCCGCTGATAAAGTGCTTGCGCGGAGTTTCCCCCCAAAAGACGCCGACGTGGTGCGCTAAGGAATTTCCATCTTTTCTCCGCTATTTTCAGGACACGACGGTGCGTTATTTGTGTGTGTGTGTGCATGTGCTTCCACAGCGATACGACTCAGGGCAGGACCGCTGTCCTGAAGGGAGGGGGACGGCGACATCGCCGTCCGCCGGGCAGCGGCAGAGGGGCCAGATTAAATTCTCCTTGAGCATCACCTGCTCGCCGGCGGTGCAAGCCAAGCTCCGCGCTGCAAGGTGGCGTGTTGGCAGGAGGGAACGGCAACGACTTCTAGGCAAAAGAAACTTTAAAAGCGGTAACTAAAACTTGAAACGAGAAAGGAAAACAAAACGAGAAAATCAACCAACCCTGACAGACAGGGCGGGCACAGTCACTCGCTAACAGCCACTTCCCTGGACGGACAAGCCGGGAGCATCTCACAGTGCCCGAAGGCAGCCGATGCCTCCTGGATGGCCGCTCCACCGCGCGGCGGAGTCCGTGCCCAGAGGGGCGCCCGGGAGGTGCTGGGGTCGGCGCCCCTGCCCTAGCTGGCCTCGTCCGAGTCGCTGTAGTGGGAGCGGGGGGAGAACTCCCCGTCGCTCCTGTGGGACCGGGGCGACGTTTTGCTCCTCTCCTGCGGCGGCTGCCCGGGTTGAGGCATGAGGAGGGCGGGGGAAGGGGCTCTCTGTCCCAGCAGGGCGCCGTCGCTAAAGGAGGGGAAGTGCAGCGGGTCGAGCTGCACCGAGTACCCACCCGCTGACGGCGGAGGGGGAAAGCGAGTCCTGCCGTGACCGGGAGGCGAGGCTCTGGGGGGCCCCGGCGGCTGTGCCGGCGGCGGCCCGGCCCCGGCAGCGCAGGGCGGCTCGAAGGGAGCCCCGCGGTGCTCGGGTTTGCCGGGGGTGTCAGGGGTGCCTGCGGGGCTGTGCAGCAGCTCGGCTAGGGCGCTGATGTAGATCTGCGCCATCTGCAGCGTCTCGTACTTGGAGAGCTTCTTGTCGTTGTTGAAGGAGGGGATGACATTGCGCAGCTGGTCGAAGGCGTGGTTCAGCCCGTGCATCCGCCGCCGCTCCCGCGCGTTGGCCGCCAGCCGCCGCTGCTTCTGCACGCCGCTCACCTGCGCCCGCAGACCGGGTCCGCCGCCGCCCCGCGGCCGCCCGCCACCCACTGCCGCCGCTGCCCCGCGCGCCACGCCGGGGCTGCTCCCGCCGCCCCGCGCCGCGCCGCCCACCAGCTCGGCCGCGTCCTCCTCCTCCTCCTCGGCGGAGGGCATCAGGTAGCGCGGCGAGGCGGCGGGCAGGCGCGCGGCGCAGCACACGCCCAGCCAGCCCGCGCCGAACCCGCACCCGCCGGGCTCCGACGCCGGCTCTGGCGCCCCGCGCTCCCGCGCGTCCTCGGCCCACGCGCCCCGCGGCAGGCTCATGGCTCTCAGCGCGGGCGCCGCGCGCACATGCGGGGCGGGAGGGGGGGGGGGGTGTAGCGGGGGCGGCTCGCGGCGTGGCAGGCCGCCTCGCGCGTGGCGCCCCGACGTCTCCGGTGTCGGCCGGGTGCCGCGCCCCCCTTTAAGGAGCGGCACGCGCCGGGGTCCCCCCCCCGCGTTCCCCCCTCACCCCCCTCTTTCTCCTCCCTCGCGCCCCACCCCTCCCGCAGCCCGCCCTCCACTCGCGCCGGTCGCGTGTCGGCGCGGCCAATGGCGCGCGCGCGGGGGCCGGCGCGTGCGGTGAGCCAATGGCGCGCGGGGCGGGAGAGCGGAGGTTGGGGACGGAGGGGGGGTGTGGGCATGGCGACGGGGGTGAGCCTCGGCCGGCGGCACGCGCGGTCTCGCCCCGCCCGGGCAGGCGCGAGCCTGGCGGACGCCCCGCACGCAACAGCGTTCGGGGAAGGGGGTGTGTGTGCGCGCGTGCGTGCGTGCATGTGTGTGCGTGTATGTGTGTGTGTATGTGTGTGTGTGTATGTGTGTGCGTGTGTGTGTGTATGTGTGTGTGTGTGTGTGTGTATGTGTGTGCGTGTGTGCGTGTGTGCGTGTGTGCGTGTGTGCGTGTCCCGAAGCGCACTGGCAGCGATGCGTCCCGCACCGGGCACCGGGAACCGGTGCTGGTGGCAGCGCGTCCTCCCCGCACTGCCACCGCCGAGGACGCTCCGTCGCGCCGGGCAAGATGGGCACCAGCGTCCCTTCCCGCCCGAGGGCTCCGGTGAATGCCCTCCCTCCGGGCGCGTCCGGGTGTCCCGACTCGCCCCGGCAGCCGCGGCTTTTCCCGAGTTGGTGGAGCGCAGCGCTGCCCGGGCCGCTGCCGCGGGGTGCCCAGGCAGCCCGTCCCCCGGGCGGCACGCTGCGCCGCTTCGCGGGGGGTTATGTACGGCGCGAACACGTGTGCACCCTCGGTCAGAGTAAGCGGTTCACCGGGGACAGACGAGCAGCCGGGATCCGCAGCCGGGACAACACATTTGCACCGCACCGGGAGCTGCCCCGGTTTCGGGGGGTCCCGGTCTCCCCGCAAGCAAGTCCTTTTGTTCGGCCGACAATGGCTCCCCAAAGGTGGCGGAGAGGGAAGCAACTCCGTGTACGCATCTTAACTCCTCTTCCGCGCAGCCTCCCCGCCGCCGCCCGCTCTCGGGGAAGAGCGGAGATTTACCGTGTGAATAGGCATATTGAGAACAAAGTGATGGGCACAGTATGAGGTAGATACGTTTTTTCAAACGTGAGTAACTGGCAAGCCGAGGAAGGAGCGCAGCAGCTCAGAGCCGTGCGGCCGTGACATAAAATGAGCAACCTCGTGAGTGTGCGGAGCTGGCTGAGCCGCTCTGAGCGCCTCCGAGGCTGGGACCCACCTTCCACCAACAGCTGGATGTGTTCGACCGGGTGCTCGGGGTCCGCTTTCTATGAAGGGAAACCGAAGCTAGCCTTCGCTGTTCTTTTCTGCTTGCAATTATGCTGCTGGACCCCCCCACCGCAAAAAAAAAGTTGTCAAATTCTGATCAAAATGAAAACGTTTACTTAGCAAGAAAGATAAGCAGCAGCAGGAGTTTATGCCTTGTTTCCGTATATTATCTGTGACATTGGCAGGCCGTCTGTTCATATCCAGCAGCAGCTTTTATAAGCTCCTATTACTGCACACACAGAGATGCTTTGATAATTTAAATAAAATAAGAAATCCTCTTTCCACCGTGCTGAACGGTTCTGTTTGCTAGCTAAATACCTAACCCTTCGACTTGTCTTTCTGTCCCCAGGCACTGCACATTCCCTGACTGGGTCCTGGTGATCCAGGCTTGCTTTGTGAGGAGTCTGCTGTACTTGCCTCATCCCTCTTCCCAGTGCTGGGCACTGCAGCTTTGACCCACTCGATGCAAGGACCACGGGACAATGCTTGGAGCTGAGTGGGAGCTTTGCCAAGTAGCAGCTGCTGCCACGCACTCTCAGAAGCTTAGTGAGCTTGAGGCATAGGGACAGCGGTGCTGAAGCCTCGAATGCCTTGCTCCTGATTATGAGGCTGACACAGACCCAGTCCTCCAGCCTACAAGCCACCTGCTTTTCAGGGCTACCTGGCCAAAACCCCGGGCAGGGAGGAGGAGAGCGGCATCCCATTAGCATCCCCTGTGGATGTGGGGCAACTGGTGCCCAGGAGGCGCCCTGATCTCTGGGTAGATCCACTCACAGCAGGTGCTGGAGGCTTCCCTTAACAGGAACGTAGTGATTTTATGGAGCACAGGGGAAGCTCAGCCTATACCCTGGCATGCTCCTCAGCCCAGTTGAGAAACACTACTGGCTGCTTATTTTCCAAGTGTGTGTTCTGTGAGCACATGCTTTGAAACTGGAGGCATCCAAGACTCACTTGATAGTTTGCCTTTGAAAAGGCATGCACAGAAAACCATTTTCCCCACCAACATCACTACTCAGAGGGGGGAAAAATATATTTCATTGACCCCCCCTTGCCCTGTGTACACCCATATGTGCACACGAACTCTGAGTCAAAGGCAAGGGGTAGTTTTATGTTAGTGCTGGGTTTAGCTCTGCTCTCCCAGAATAAGATAAATGTAAGTGATGAAGAACTCCTGCGGCTGGCTGAACTCATTTTGTATTCAGCACTGCCCGGCCCTTTTCTCTTCCCTTTCTCCCTCTCTTTGTATGTTCAAGCCTACTTGAGTTTCTTTTTTTCTTTTGTAGAAGTTGGTTCTTTTGAAGCGGTTCGAGGCACGCCCTGCCGCAAAGGGAACTTCACGGGAGTCGGAAACACAAGCACACCGGTCTGAAACACTTACTGTACAATAGCAGGAATGTAGAAAGCCTTGAAAATGAATCTGCTTTCTCTAAGAAAGTGTCAAAGCTTTCAGAGGAAAACAAACTGAACTTATCCCCGTATCTTTATGCAGATTTTCCCCTGCTCCCCCCTTAGTCTGGTTAAGGGCTGAGGCAACAGCTCGGGGTCAGGCACATATTAGTGTTACAGAAAGATGGGTTACAAAAGGTGTGGGGGGAGAATAGACCTGCAAAAAGCCTCCTCTATCATTATGGCCAGAGACATTTGCAAAGCACACAAAGCACACGGGTCAGCCCTCAGCTTAATTGTGCTCAACAATCTAATTGCTCATTCAATCCCATTTAGAGATCAGCAGGCTGCTCTGCCGGCACCATTACCCCTTAGGAAGTGTTTTATTCTCCCTCTTCCCTTGCCCCACTTTCTCCACTTGTTCTCTCATTTCCTCCCTTCATTTTGAAAAGCAGGGGGAACCCGCTCCTTGCCTCCCCTGGCCTTTGATCTGGTCTTCAGGCAGTTAAATGCACAAGTAGAGACAAACTTGTGTCACTCACCGAGGTCAGGTAATCCTCACTGAATCTCAACCGCCACCTGCCCAGGCCTCCAGCAAGAGGAGGGGAGGTCCATTCCTGCCTACCTCATAACTGACCTGCACCCTGGATGACAAACCCTATCACCCCATCTAAAAGCTACAACAGTGAGCTATCAGAGGCACATACAGACCCATGCACAGCCTAATAGTTTTCAGTGTCATCAACCGCACCATCAGAATATTCACCCAAATAAAGTATTCATATTTACATTATTTAGAGCAGGTGAGGTTAAAGCAGAGGAGGGTCCAGCAGCAAGTCTTTCTTAAGACTCCTTCTGTGCTCAGTGCCTGATGCTTTACTGTCAAGTATGTTCTAAATACACGTGAGAAGTGCCAACCACAAGGAATGCAAAAGCCCAGGTACTTGGAACATCACAATGGACTCGAGAATTAGTGAAACCTGCCCCCTTTCCACCCATGAATAACTAGGACCACCATGCTGCTGAAGCAGATGTGCCCCCATTTCTGCAGAGCAATGTTCCTCGCACATCATTCCAACTACCCAACGTCACTCACTTCAACTTTTTGAGGGTCTATACAACCAACTCCCATTTCCTGGTGATGGTTAGCCGCATGAAGACCCAACACAGACCTGCACACTGAGGCTAACCAGCAGACACTTTCTGCTCTGTACAGTTAATTCTAGCACAAGTACTCCCACTGCCTCCAAGAGAAAGGCAAAGCACTGCTGTAACAATACTTGCCCACCTCCTGGGGTCATTGTAAGGCATAATTAATTCAGCTTTGTAATATATTTGGAAATCTTATCTATGGAATTTATACCTACATACACTTTGTCCTTTTATTTAAATGGCTGAAACTGTTTCTGAGAATTGAATTTATGCTCATAATGGAAAAATAAGACCCTTCATATTCAAGGAAGCATCACTAATAACAATATCATTTAGTCACTTTATTTTAAGCACTTTCTTGTTTTTCCACTCAGCTTGGAAAGGAGTTTCTACTAAAATTGCCAAATACCTCAGTCCCACAGAGCTCTGGCAAGCTGAGACACTACTCAGCTGCAGGACACTTGCAACAACAGGCCTCCAGAAAACCAAATGCAAACCACCAAAACCACCACGCAGGGGTTTGCTGGGCTGTCACCATGGTCTGGTAAGCACTGCCCTGGTCCCAGGCAATCACAGAGCATGCTTTGGCAGGCAGCAAACAGTTTTGTCCTGTACTGAACTTGGGAGCTCTGATCGCAGGGGCACAGAGGTTTGCATTTGCTTGGCTACTGCTTCTGACAGAAACTGTAACCACAAGAGCTGGAAACAGCTTAGGCAGGCAGCTTTTAGGATCTGCATTACCAAGTATACCCCAGAACTAAGCTCTTGGGAAAAGAAGAACTAGTTAATGACTTAAAAATAATTATACCCTGCACAGAATTGGAAGCTTTTGCTTGCAGTTCAGAACTACTTTAATGCAATGGAAACACTGGTATCAGACCCAAGGGACCTGTGTCAGAGGCTTTATACCTTCTGTATCCACCAGCCACTATTGTCTCCTAATAGCGATGTTAAATGAGCAACTCTTTAAATGAGCAACAACAGAACACTACTAACTGTCCCTCCT